AGATGGAAATTAATCACGAAGTTAAAATACACAGCACAAACAGGCCCCAGTAAACACTCTGGAATGAATGACTTGAAATGCTTCAGGAACGCTAGAATTTTAAGCCTCACCCTTTTTTTTTTTTTTAAAGATTTTATTTATTTATTTGACAGAGATCACAAGTAGGCAGAGAGGTAGGCAGAGAGAGAGGAGGAAGCAGGCTCCCTGCTGAGCAGAGAGCCCGATGTGGGGCTGTGGGGCTCTGGGGCTGTGGGACTCGATCCCAGCACTCTGGGATCATGACCTGAGATGAAGGCAGAGGGTTTAACCCACTGAGCCACCCAGGCACTCCTAAGCCTTACTCTTTATCCTTAATATTTCAGTAGCTGGCTTGACGTATTTTTAAGTACAGTCACACTTCTTTGGAATTATTTTACATGCAAAATAATTTTTCAATAAGAAATGTTTACCAAACATCTACTACAGACTAGATTGTGACAAAAATGATTAAAACAAGCCTCTTAGCCTTAGCGGGCTAAATTATGGGGAAAAAATAACTAAGTAGCTATATAATAAACACTCTTAAGAAAATCATCTTCAGTGCACCTGGGTGGCTGTTGGTTAAGTGTCTGACTTTTGATCTTAGGGTGGTGAGATCGAGCCCTGCCTCACTTGGTGTTGGGTGTGGAGCTTGCTTAAGATCCTCTCCCTCCCCTCTCCCCTCCACCTTTCCATCCTCTCTCCCCAAGCCACTAGTGCTCTGCCCAAAAACAAAAACAAAAAATCTTCCTTTCTAAACCTACACCTTTTGCCTCTTGTTCTCTAGACCATGGCAGTTCCAATCCCAGAATCCTAGAACTCCTCCTTTTCCCTGAACTCCTTCATTCTATCCCATTCTGCCCCAGCATCTGGCTCTCAGATTAGTGCATACTACAACCGCTCTCTAACTGGTCTTCCTGATTCCGATCTGGTCTCACTTACTACTACAACAACCAATCTCAAATTCAACGATCACTCTGAAATGCGTATTTCAGAAGATCCACTAGGATCCACTTCCACCAGAAGATCCACTGCTTGGCAAATTTCCTTCACTTCTGTGCTACGAAATTCAAGTTTCTTGACCTGGCACACAAGGCCTTCTGTAATATGGGCCATGTCTGCCCTCCTGACTAAATTCCTACCACACCTGCCTTACATTTTGAACCACTGCTGGACAAATGATTGCAGTTCCTCTGCTCAACACTCATTTATCTACCTTTATTGGCTTGTCCATTTGCCTATAATCCATCCCCCCAAACTAAACACATTCTTTAACTTAACTTCAGGGTTACATCTTCCAACAAGCCATCTCTGAGACATGTCTCTCTTCAGGTTGAGCTAAGGTACTTCCATAATATCCTGTAAATACCACAATCATTGTGCAAACAAGTTCAAGTGTGGTCAGGGGATCAGCAACACCGGCAGCACCTGGGAACCTGCTAGACCTGCAAGACCTTAGACCCCTCCCAGACCTATACAATCAGAATCTGTGTTTAAACAGGACACCCAGGTGATTTATACGCACATTAGAGTTGGGAGGCACTGTGTTAAGAATCTGTTTGTACATGTGTTTCTCCTATCAGGCAGTCTCCAACATTAGGGTGCCTAAGCACCCTCTGGGATGCTGGTCAAAATGCACACGGGCAGCCCGTGCAGAGTCTGAGGCAGAACCGGGGAGGGGCCCAGGTACTTGCATTCTTATAAGCATGTGATGATGTCATTAATTTAGAGCCTCCAGCCGTGACCATCACACTTTGAGAAACATACTATGGGACTGCAACAGATTTCTGATAAGGGAGGGAATGAAAGAGCAGAGCAGTGGCTAGATGGTAGTGAGCTGAGCACTTACAACACAGGCTACACAGGGGAAGGACATGTGAACGGAAAGACTAGGTAGACTGGGATGTCCTGTAAAATAAAAACCAAACATCTAAACCCTTCTTTGAGAGCAGCTGGATCTGTAAAAATAACATACACAGAAAATGGTCAGTATTTTGTTCTTCAGTTAAAAAAGCCTACTCTAACTCCCGTTACCCAAATACAAATGGCAGTAACAACTTATAACCAAAAACTCTCTGAACCACTCAAATGGGGGGCCTGAGTGGCTCAGTCAGTTAAGCATCTGCCTTCAGCTCAGGTCCTGATCTGGGGGTCTTGGGATCAAATACCACATCAGGCCCCTTGCTCAGCAGGGAGCCTGCTTCTCCCTCTGCCTACTGTTCCCCCTGCCGTGCTCTCTCTCTCTGACAAATAAAATCTTTAAATAAATAAATATATAAATACAAACCACTCACGAAAAAGAAACTTGTTAATGCACAAAGCTCACAATCCAAGGTTTAATATTCACATGAGGTAACTAATAACTACCACCTTTCAGAAATTAATATTTAAAAAAAGGTCACAGGTGAAATAGTATTTTGTTTTCAAAAAGCCGTTATTAGAAAAATAAAAATTATTTAGTCCAGGCACTCAACAAATGTCTATGGAATTACACAGCAATACCAGGTTAAGAACAGTGACTTAGCAAACACATTGTTTTATCTGCAAAGTGGCAACAGCAGAAATTTCACGATCAGTCACCTTTGCTTAAAAGCTCAGAGCTCCTTTGTAAGCATATAATTATAAACCACAGACACCACAAAAGGTCTTAACCCTAAACTAAGGAAAGTAAACCTGACTCAGGAAGACAAAAACTGAAAAACTTTTAAAAAATCACTACAAAAACTACTATGTGCACATTAGCTTAAATGTGGTTACATATGCCATAAGAAAACAAGAAACAAAAAATTACTCAAGTGATAAACATTAGGTGTACAAAGGATATAATTAAATTTCTTAACTAATGTACCATGACCGTATACACTATCATCTACCATATAATGCCTTGTGTAGATCCTAAGATTGCATTGAAATTATTAAATCAGTTGTCCAATCAGAAAATTTTTGAAGTTTTACTTATGCTACGGGCACTATTACACAGTTTACCAACATGCATTAGTATACATGGTTTTGTCCATGCTGGAATTTTATTTTATTTTTAAAGATTATTTCTTTCTTTCTTTGACAGATCACAAGTAGGCAAAGAGGCACAGAGAAAGGGGGAAGCAGGCTCCCGGCTGAGCAGAGCCCAATGTGGGGCTAGATCCCAGGACCCCGAGATCATGACCGGAGCTGAAAGCAAAGGCTTTAACCCACTGAGCCACCAGGCGCCCCTATGCTGGAATTTTAAACAGAGCAATCAAACAGTGGCATTTTGAAAATACAACCACAGACCTAAAATGATAGCTACAAGTAAAGTTCAACTGTTTAACAAGTACCATAAGATGGAAGATTTCTTTTCATCCAAATGCTTCGAATTCACATAAAGTCAATCCCCATAAAATGTGTGATCTATTAACATCTTTGTTTCATCACATATCCTTCCAATCAACGGAGTTTTGGAAACCTTAATTCAGGTCTAGGGATGTGCTCTGCTATTCAACACTTATGGATAGAGAAAGGAATGTAAATAATGCTTCACTCTTTCTTCAGCAAGAATGTGCCCATTATTCAGGGCTCAGCTCACATTATCCAACAAATTTACTTCTTGCCTCCTTTGTGTAGTACTGCCCGAGAGACTTTCTGGGATGATGGAAATGTTGAAACAGCCACAAAAGCAACTGGCCAATGTGGTGACTGAGCATTTGAAATGCAGTGACTACTGCAAACCGAAATATGTAATTTTTAATGTGATTTCATTTTAATTAATCCAAATTTAAACAGCCAAATGTGGCTAGTGACTACTACACCGGACAGAGCAACTCTAGTAGCATACAAGTAAACTAGAAAAAAGATCTTTCCTGAAGTTTACAATCCTGCGTGAAAGAAAAATATTAAATAAACCAATAAATATATAATTTCAGGTGGTGACTGGAAGGGGCAGATCTCTTTTGGGAAGGCCTCTCTAAAGAAATCTGGATTAGGCATCGCCCTTCCTATGTGCTCCCACTAACCCTATGCTAACACAGATTTAACACACATTAACCCTATGCTGCAAAGAACTCTATGGAAACCACTTGTCTTGTTCCGCTGTACTCCAGCACCTATCATACTGAGTTTCTGGAGCACCAGGCAGAAGCAATCTAAAAAACTCACAAATCTGACCCAGCCTTGCAATGTTCAAAATACACCAGAGAATCGGAGTTCAAAAAGATACGAAGAGATTAGAGCAAACCCAATCGGCTCTCTTCGTACCCAGTCCCAGGCAGCCTTGGAGCCTCCCTTCCAAACACAGCACTGCAGAGCAAGGACCGCCTCCTTCTCTTTCTCATCCCCAGACTTCTACTCCGAATGACTAATTCACAGTTTTTTTCGCCGCAGCCAAATCACACTCCTCAGCCAACTCCAACTCACAAGGCTACAGCAAATAGACTTTTAACAGGCTGCTTCACGGAACACCGCACCTCATCCGCCAACCTTCTCCTACCCTTAGATTTACAATTCCTGGAAAGTTAATCTCTACTCGAACCTGACGGGCTCTGCGCCGCTCCCTTCCATCCAACACCATAGGGATATTCCATCAAGAGGGAATGACGTTTTGGAGGGAAGGGTAGCCCAGGAGAGGCCATTTATCTAAAATACGAAGGCAAAGTGATGCGTCTTTTCTCTTCTGTACTCGGAAGTAATGGGGCCAAGTGATTCACAGCCTCGTAGTGGGAATTTAGAGGAAGCTCGGAGCTGACAGGAAAAATGGTTGGGAAGTGGTAAAGGCAGACACCGGAGGTTCCACAAGCCCTCGACTTACTGCTGCCCCAATCCTCCCGCCACAGCCCGGGGGGAATGAGGGTGACTGCAGATCCGCCCGGGAGGAGAAGCACCTCGCACTGCCGGGTGGGCGGTGGCGCAAGGCCCGCAGGCGCCGGGTGAGCCCGCCCGCTCCGCGGAGCCTTTCCGCTGGGGCCAGGGGCCCCGTGCCCACCCCGCTGATCGTGGCCACCAGTTACCTGCTGGTCTCGAGCGAAGAATAACGCTCGGGCAAGACCTGGAGGCAGCGCTGGAAGAATCGCACGTGCCGGTCTCGCAGGAAATCCAGCCGCTCTCCCTCACCGCTCCCCGCCGGCCGCTCTTCCTCCGTGGCCGCCATGCTGCTGCGGAAGCGACGTCCGCCGCGACCCGGAAGCACTTGGCGCGCGGCGTGAGGGAAGCCCGAGGGGCCACACAGGGATGGCGCGTGGGCACGGGCAGTGCGCTCGCCGCGCGCCCGCCTCGGGTTGAAACGACTCGCTGTTCACACTCTTAACGCAGCTTGGTGCCTTCGCATTTCTTTCTACAGCCCACCTTTTCTAGTCTGAGCCCCGCAGGCTTGGAGACCCTTCTCAAGCCTTGTAAAATTCAGCCCACAGATCCACCAATCCCTCCAGAACTTTGATCCTCCTTCGGTATTTGGAAGTGCAAGATCAAAAACTTCTAGTTCGCTTTGAGACGATCGCGGCCCTAAAGGATGGTATATTTGAAAATGGATGGATCAGAATAAATCCTTTCTGCAAGTCCCCAGCTTTCAGCTGAATAGATAGGGAGGCTAGATCTTCAAATCAAGCTGTGAAGATAAACGTTTTTTAAAAATTACGGACGCTTCCTGAGCTCAGAGACGTTCCTAGTCCTCTCTAGGATACCAGCAATTATATATATATATATATATATATATATACATACACACACACACACACACGAATAACAAATATATATAAACATATACACATATGAATAACAAATATAAATATATAAACACACATATATACACAATTTACATTTATATTTCTATGTGTGACTGCATCATTTTCTTTTGCAAGATTTAACTCTTAATGTTAAGTCTGTGTTCATCTAGCATCGTTGTCGCATCAATTTGCCACGGCAAACAAGCTCAAATGTTCTCCAACTACTCCTATATTAAAATGAAATAGCATGCTTCTAGCAATTTTTTTTTTTAAGTTGGAACTTAATTTGCTTCAACCATATATTATTCCCTTTAAAAGGTCACGAGGCAGTCTGAGGGAAAAAAATTCACCGAAAGATCAGGCTCAAACCTAGGTTCTCTATAGTCGGCTAAGCTAAGTTTGAGTATAATTTTAATTGTTACCTTTTTAGAAAAATCTATTTAAGATACATGCTGTGTGGGCAGTTATCTTCTCCTTATTCAATAACCCAAAGTGCCTAGTTTTAGGTACCAGTTACTACTTATTCACAGGGATTCCTGTATGTCTGAAACAAATGTGGCATGACCAAAGGGCTGGGTATAGGCCAAGCGCTGTCGTTGGGCTTCCTTACAAATAGGGAGGCCACATTCCTTGTTTTTCAGGTATGCCTCATCTAGAGGAGTTTTCATTGTCATGAAGTTAATATCTTTCCCTCTCCCTTACAAACACGCCCCACCAAATGTTTCAGAATGTCGAAAGTGTGGTCATATCACACACATTTTACTATGGACAATGCAGTCTATACATGCTCAGAAAGACAATCCTGTTCAACTGGGCCACCTAAAGAGAACACAGATAATTTTCCTCTGATTCTCAGCTCAGGAACCAGCAATCTGATCCAAATTCCATGATGGACTCGCTGAGAGATAATATAATATGCTTCCTAGGTAAGTAAAAGGGTTTTCGTGGGTGACTTTGACCACACAAGATTGTTGACATAGGCATGACAGAAGCCAACCCCCATGCAAAGTGCCACTCTATGTTACTAGGTAAGAAGTGTAAATAACTCAGGTTTTCAAGATATAGGCATGATAAGACATCTATATAATTAAACATTATTTAGCCATTAAACAATGTTTGAATTCTATAGAAACATAGGAAAGTATGTATAACTTAGTATAGTAAATAAAACATACTCTATGACTGTAGCTATTTTAAAATATGTAGGTATGTTTTTGGAAAAAGTTACCATGGAGTGGTGGAATTAAGGGTACTTTATTAACATTTTTCCTTTAGGGTTTTTTTCTAAAGTTCTTACTCAGATTGTTTTTATTTATTTTTTATTTTTTTATTTTTTAAAGATTTTATTTATTTACTTGACAGAGAGAGATCACAAGTAGGCAGAGAGGCAGGCAGAGAGAGAGGAGGAAGCAGACTCCCCGCTGAGCAGAGAGCCCGATGTGGGGCTCGATCCCAGCACTCTGGGATCACGACCTGAGCCGAAGGCAGAGGCTTTAACTCCCTGAGCCACCCAGGTGCACCTCAGATCCTTTTTAAACCAGTAAATGAAATGTTTATTTATCTCTTCTCTGAGCCTACAACTGAAGATACTATTAATTATGCTTATTCTATACCTTTTATACATCCCTCATTTGTTTTAGATTCAGTTAGAAGGACTGGTTTTGTCAAAGAAAATTCCATACTTTTATTAAGAAACAAACAAACAACAACAAAAAAATAGACAAAAAGCCAAAAATCACACTACCCAGTATGCTTACCTTTGACGCAGGAAATGGAAAGCTACCTTTGTGTGCAACAAAAAGCAGTGTTCAAAAGCCATATATAAGAAGGCTTTCTTTTGTGTATCTTATAGTATAGTAGTTCCATTCTGTTTAAAACCTGTTGTCCAATATTGTGTCTCTAAACTGCCTCCAACCATTTAAAAACAAAGTTAAAGAGAACGAGGGCTACAAATAAAACAGGCATCCCTGATTAAGGATGTTTTATGTTATTTCTCTCATTTTGCACCAATAATTGTGTAATCAAATTCAGTTTCCAAAATTTGGAAGCCCTCAGCTTTGACAATTAACTGTGAAATAAGTAAAGGTTACTACTGACAGTTTACTAACAGTAAACTTCTGAGTCATTTGACCTAGATGTTTCAAGTTATAAATTAAAGATATTCTAAGATAAAATATAAAAAACACAAGTTCTTTCATATTTATTATGTATATGATACCTCTCCTATAAGATGGGGACTGATTAAAGTTAGGAACTAAGATTTTATAATATGAAAAGTTGAGTCAAATTAAGTTAAATTGTGTTTTCACGTATAAAAGTTTGGAAATTTTAAAGTTGCCTCTTTTGACCAAATATTCTGAGCCAAACAGAAGCAGTAAAGAAAACTGCACCAGCCAGAAGATGTGAAAGACTCAAAGGCTTTATAGATGTGTGACATCCAGAAAGGCTAATGGGAAATCTGGCATAGCCAAAGGAAACCAAAAAGATGTCGATAATATAAATAATAGGATATTTCGAGGTGAGGCATATTTTTAAAATAAATATTCTCTATATAAAACAAAGCATGCTTCCAACAAATACAAAATATTTATTACACAAAAATGTAGCAACCGACAAACTACCAATTTGTTAAACTTAGAAAAGTACTGACTTATTTCCCCCCAGAAAGGAAAATCTTTACATTTCTGTTCCTTGAGCTCATTTGCCTCCAAGTTATAAATGTTACAAAATTTTTGTTTAAAAAAAAATTGATACTCTATGATTGACCCAATTTATTTTGCTATGCCATGACAAAAACAAAATACCTTTGAAATGTTCTCAGGACTTAAATGAAATCATGTGTGTAACATACACTTATTCAAATAACGTTTACATCAATAATAGGCCAACATACACATTAAATACCCACTGAGTATAGACGAGCTCCGACAGCGCCGCAGGGAACTCAGTACCTGTGTGTTCACAAACAACACGGTTACCAATCTGACTGGGGCTAGTACTACTTAAAGAACATGGGCACTGACTCTCTCCTGGTATGAACATGCTGACACTTTCATCAACTGAATACCAACTTCATTATCTCATATTCTTTTCTCAAGTCCTTGTCTCCAGGTCGGAATAGCCCTAGGGAGAAGAAGAAGGGCAATTATAATACAAAAGGAATTTTTTAGAAATCCGAATCAATTAAATTCTACGTTGGACTCGCTGAGAGGTAATATACTACGCCTCCTAGGTAAGTAAAATGCTTTTCATGGGTGACTTAAATGCCACTCTATGTTATTAGGTAAGAAGCGTAAATAGCTCAAGTTTTCAATGCATAGGAATGATAGAACATCTATATAACTGAACATTATTTAGCAACTTTTATCAACTTTTTAACTGTAAAATAGAGCATGCAAATAGAAACTATATAAAATATAAACATGTAGTTATGAAGTTATTGTAAAGTGGACACCCACTTTAACTCCTTTTTACCTGTGTGGGATATGCAGAAGTGGCCCGGAGCCTGTGGGTCCCGTCTTCTTAGTCCGTTCCTCCCAACCTTTGGTAGGTCTGTAAAGCCTAGAGGGATCCCTACCAACGTTGTTTTCAACCTGTAATCAGAAAAAAAATGAGTGCCGGTTACTTTATATGCACTATTAAGTTTGGGTTGGTGAGTGAGATCTTTAGTAACAACAGCAAGCAGTTATAAGAAACACCCTTGAAATTCGCTCAACAGAAATAAAACTGTTAATAACCTTTTTGGCAAACTTCCGATTGTGCTCCTAGAGCTAACATAAAATCTGAACTCCATTAATCTATTAATAAACTGTTTAACTTAGTTTCTTTTTTTCTAGTTCAATTATTGTATTCTGCTTCCACTGTTGTTCTATTTTTTGTTTCTATTCTGAGGGAAATGTAATGCCTCCAAGGGTGATTGTGGGATAGCCAGACAATGAATTTAGGGTAAATAACTACCAGGAAAGTCCTTCGTTCCCAGGAGAGTCACCAACATCCGTAGTCCGTGTACTCCCAGGGAGATTAAGCAATGCTCCTAGCTACTATAGGTCTAAAACAGAGGCACGTATGGAAGAAAATGAAAAACAGAATGAAGAGTAAGAAGAGAAAATTAATTCAGGGTAAAAGAAAATAAGGTGCTTAGAATGTGAAATGGCAGAATTCCAACAGTTGCTTAAGTTGTGCTAAACTGTGCTTTGTAATACATAAATCCGTTAAGTACGAAATCTAGAGGAAGCGATACAGAAATAGAGTTCTGGATATAAAGGAAATGGATTTCATGCTTGCCTCCTTACCAATCAAGGAGTTAGGATAATAACAAAATAAATCTCAGCACACAGCACCTTTTCTTTTAATTTTGCCAGTTTTCTTTGTTTTTCTGCCTTTTCATCTTCCTTTAACTGTCGATCTAGAATTTTCAATTCAAGTTTATGTAAATCCTAAAAAAAAAATACACCAACAATAGGAAGGTAACATTAAGAAAATAAAATTCATTAGAATTTATTTCAAAGGTCAGTAGCTTGCAAGAAAAATCAAATTACCCTAAATATCAATACTTCAATATTAACCTTTTCCAACAAAGGCTAAGAGCTATCTTTATCCTGAATATAAATGTAACACATGCCCATCCTTTCTGAATTGCTTTCTTTAGCTGTTTTATTTTATAGTTCAATCCAAAACACCTTTTCTTTGATAGTTGAGCTAAGCCTATTTTCACTTTTCAATACAGATATATCTGGTTTTAGATCTCTCACATATGTTCTATTTTACAGGATTTCTTGTTTTTTTTTTCTTGGTCTTTTATTGTGTGGCCTGCTCACCTTTTTTTGGTGGGCGGTGGGCAGAACGCATGGGATCTTTTGTTATTTAGGAAGATTTTTACATATGGACTAGGGGAAATTCCATTAGTGTGGTTTTGTCTATGATTTTTCTTTGCATTTCCCTTATTTTTTGCTTCATGACAGCTGCGGCTATGTCTTTTGATGCACATAACAATTCATAAGAGTTACTTCATAATAGTTATATCTTATTTTTTAAAAAGAGTATTTATTTGGCAGAGAGAGAGAGAGAGAGCGTGAGCACAGCAGGGGGAGCAGCAGCAGGCAGCCAACTTCTGGGGCTGGAGCCCAACATGGGGCTCGATCCCAGGACCCTGGGATCATGACCTAAGCCGAAGGCAGATGCTAAACCCACTGAGCCATTCAGCTCCCCCAGTTATATCTCATTTGAACCCTTTTTCATCTTAAAGTATCCTTCTTGGGTACCTGGGTTAAGCATCCCAAGTTAAGCTGGGGTTAAGTTGGTTAAGTACCTGACTCCTGGTTTCAGGCCATGATCTCAGGGTCATGAGATTGAGCCCCACCCTGGGCTCCAGGCCCAGGAAGGAGTCTGGTGGGGCTTCTCCCTCAGCCAGATCCTCCCTGCCTGTCCTGCGTGCTGCACTTGCCCTCTCTCTCTCTCTCTCTAATAAATAAATCTTGAAAAAATAAAGAATCTTCCGTATCTTTTTAAATACTTTTTGGACTGAATTCCACTTTAATAGTAAAACTGTACTCTTTTTTTGATTAGCATTTTTCTTGTGTATGTTTTTTATTTTCCCCTCCCTCTCAGCAGTTACCTTGATTCCATTAAGTACACACTGAGTTTCTACACCGTACCAGACCTGAGGGTACACGGATGAACCAAAAGGACAAGACCTCTGCTCTCATGGAGATTTCATGACGGTGGGGAGATGGACAGTGAACAAGGGAGCGCATCACCAGTGGGCATAGGGCCAGCAGGTCTGGCAGAGAACACAGCCCATGTGTGGCCTGACCTGTGACTACCTTTCCAGCGTCCTCCCCAGCTGCTTCCCAGCTCCTGTCTGGTGCCCTGAGATCGCTGCGGTTCTGACAGGTTTCTCCCCAAACCACACTGCTACCCTTCATGCCGTTCCCTCTGCCCTTCATGCCGTTCCCTCTGCCAGGAAGGATCCCTGCCTTTCTTCTCCTTCAAGACTGCACCCCAGCATTACCTTCTGTCTGACCCCCACAGCTCTGGAACACTTCCCTCGCTGCCTGCCTGCCTCCCGAAGTCCCTGGAGAACCCATCACTCTACTTCTGCGCGGTCTCACGTCTGTCTTTCCCTGGGGGCTATACGACCCACTAGGATTCAGGGAGCATGTCTTCCTCACTTTCACCACATGAATGCCGGGTACGGGCCCGTTTTTGCAGACCTCAGTCTGGAACGGGACACCACTACGTGGGGCCCTGAAGGCGGACCCAGGAACCATTACTGACTCACTCGCTCTTGAAACCTGGAGATCTCCTCAGCAGCCGTTTTCCTCTTTTCTGCCTTTTCTGCCTTTTCCTTCATCTCCTTCTCAAGCCTCAGAAATTCTTCCTGCTCTTTCTTCTGCTGGGCGTAACTCTCCAGGAGTAATTTTAGTTTAAACTGGCGTTGCCGCGCTTTCTGCTGCTTCTTCTCTTTCTCCTCCTCTTCTCTCACCTCGGAGGCACGTCTCATGGACCTTTCTAGACTCTTCTGCTTCTTCCACGCTTCCACGGCCAGCTTCTGCTTCTTTCTTTGCTCTTCTTTTCGCTTTTGATTATCTTCGTTTTTACTGTGGAAGAGCAGAGATATGTTCTCTGCCTTTTCCTTTAACTTGAGAATTTCCTCCTTCTTTTGCTGCTTTTTGGTTTTCCAGTTCTGAATAGACTGATTAAAAAAAAACAGAGAGAGAGAGAGAGACAGGAAGAGAAAAACATTTTTAATAACCAAGAGCACTTGAAAAGGCAACCCCAAATCCATCTTTCTAGAAAGAACATTGCTTGCACGAGGCTGGTTGCTTAGGTTTTAAAGCATTTTTTTCCCTGAACCAATGCAATTTTTTTCTACTTCATTAAAAAAAAAAATCATGTATCTTTTAAACACTGAATGGTGGTTTGTTCCTTTGGCCTTCCCCTTCCTCTCTTAATTCTCAGGTTCACAAGGACGGCACCTCGTCAAGTAGCTTCCTCTCCTTTACCCTCTTCGTTTGTGTTCATGGGGAACATCTCTTTCTTCTAATCATCTTGCTCTGCTTCCAAACCATCTGTCTAGGCTTAGAATGGTGACCTTTACCTCTGGTCAAATATCAAAAGAGGAATTAAAAGTGGGCGGCTTGGGAGCACAGGGTCTGAAGCCAGCTGTCTGGGACCAAATCCTGCCCTCGCCGTTTAGTAGGTGTGCCCTTGGATGAGTCACGGAACCTCTCTGACCTCACTCTGCTTATCAGTAAACCGGTGCGGGAGTACCTCTCAAACAGGGTTGCTGTGAAGATTCAATGAGTCAGTGCCTGGCACCTAACGATTCACGAGTGTGAAAAAAAAGAAAAGTAAAATTGCTGTACTGCACTTGTGGGTATATAAATATTATTTAAAATTCTAGCAGCCTGCTAGCAGTCATAAAGGAGACATCTCCTGAAACACTCTCCCCTCTAGTCAGGAAACTGTTTCTTCATCTTCTCTCATGGTGTAGCATACACTCATGAAAGAAATCCCCATGGCACGTGCACTGTATGCAAGGCGGTGGGAGAGGAGCCACGGATAATTAAAACACCACCAAGCGCCTTCTACAAGAGTCTCTCAGAGTGCGGGTCCTCAAAAATACCGAGAGTTCACTCCAGAATGTAAATCAACGCACTGCTTCCTTCAGTGAGGACGTTTTCCATGGAAAAAAAAGTGAACTGAACTACACAGGGTGCTTACTGAGTAGCTGATTCAGGAACAATTTATCCTACTGGAAACCAGCAACAGTACAAACTGACATCCAGTCCATGGGCACGTTTGAGTAGCGCGGCTCGGCGTGAGATAAGATACATGCCTCAACACTAGCATACAGAATGCACCCTAGCACGTCACTAAAGAGGTATAAACAAGGGACACCTGGGTGGCTCAGTCGGTTAAGCGTCCGACTCTTAATTTCAGCTCGGGTCATGATCTGAGGGTTGTAGGATTGAGCCCCGGGTCGGGCTCAGCGCTGGGTATGGCGCCTGCTTGAGATTCTCTCTCTCCCTCTCCCTCTGCCTTCCCCCCAACCCTTGCTCACACTCATTCTCTTAAAAAAAAAAAAAAAAAAGTATACACAAGGCGTCTGTGAATTCTGAGGGAACTTCTGTGTCTGAGTGGGCAAACAGGAAGTAGCTTCTGATCTGGGCAGATTTTGATGGGCTGGTATTGGAGGGGAAAGAAAGAATGGAGGCTCTAGAAAGACAGAACAAGACAAGCAAGGATGCTCGGGCCAGAAAGTTCAGAGCATGTCTGAAAGTCATTATCTTCAGTTGGGCAAAACAGGGCGTATTAAATGAAGTGCAAGGTAAAAATGGAAAATTTCCTACCCATCATCTTTTTTTTTTTTAGAAGACTTTATTTTTAAGTAATCTTTAAACCCAACGTGGGGCTCGAACTCCCAACCCTGAGATGCTGAGTTGAACGCTCCACCCACCGAGCCAGCCAGGTAGGTGTCCCTCCAACTCATCACCTTAAACTCTGTAGAGTTAAAACTACATTCCCGATGCTTTCCCCCAAACTTTCCTCTTCTCCTCCAACATGTCTTACTTCAGTGAACAACTCTCAACCTGACTCAACCACACTCCTACATTCAATTAAGAGTCAAACATCAGGAAACAGACTGCGGAGAAGAGGGAGCTGGAATCCAGGTGGTTCACCTTTATTACAAGAAGCACTGTCCCTGCCCCTTTTCCCCAGGGAGGTGGTTCTCAAGCTTGAGCTCTTAACGGAATAACCCAGTGGCGTCGTGAGAACACAACCTGCTCCCCACACCCAGAGCTCAGATTAGGTCTGGAGTTGGGGCCCGGAAAGTTCTAATAAGTCCCCAGGTGATGCTGACTTTGCTGGTCCAGGGACCCCATGTTTTCAGCATCCTGGAAAAAAAGCCCAAATAATTCTTAACAGCTCATTATTTCGAGTTTTTAAAAATGACTTGTTTCCAGGGGCTTGGGTGGCTCAGTTGGTTAAGCGTCTGACTTGTGATTTCGGTGCAGGTCATGGTCTCAAGGTCATGAGATTGAACCCCATGATAGGCTCCGTGCTGGATGTGGAGCCTGCTTAAGATTCTCTCTCTTCCTCTCCCTCTGCCCCTCCTCCCCTCGCCATCCCCCTGGCATGATCTCGCATGTGCACACTCGCAATCTCTCTCTCAAAAAAAAAAAAAAAAAAGAAAGAAAAGAAAAGACTTATTTAAGAGAATTTTCTTAAAGTCCCAAATGCCAATTTTCCTATCTTCAACTTACTTCACAGGGAAAAAAGTAACACACAAACCCTAGTTATTTTCTCTAACATTTTAAATTAAACCTAGAATCCACATTTCTTCAGTGCTCCTTAGGTATATCATCTGTTGAACAATCATACTTTGGCTGTCAAACCAAACCAGCTGATGTTTATTACAGCACAAGTCTACAAGAGGGACTCAGACTCAGACTATCTAAACCCACGGCACCCCAACAGGAGCAATTCTTGCCCTGCAGGGGGCACTGGGCCATGTCTGGAGACATCGTTGATGATCACAACGATGTGGGGGGTGTTACTGCACCTTGAAGGTCAAGGCTAGGGACACGCTAACCATCTACAGTGCACAGGACAGCAAAGTCTCCAACCCAAATAGTCCACAGAGCCAAGGCTGAGAAGTCCTGACTTAAACCAAAGCCAGAATAATATCATTGTGAAAATGGAACCTGTAAGGTATCTGCTACCAGTAATAGTTACTCTTTCCCCAGGGGTAGCCAACATCTTGAGTCTTTTAAAATAAACAATGAGGCTTAAGCACCAAAACTCCAAGAAACTGTTAAGAGTCAAAGAGTCTTTTCCCTACTGCCTCTTTATTTTCCGTTGAAAACAGCTGGGCCTCAGTGGGAAGATGACTTTTACCAAAAACCTAAGTAGCTCTGGATTTCCCACATTTCAAGAGGACATGGAGGGTTCTGCCCACCCTCAGAAGGTCTGTGGCCCGCTGTTATATTTCTCAGGGTCTTGAGACGTTCAGCTGGAGCTCTACCAGTTGGGTAAAATTACTTAATTTCTCATTGCCTCAGTTTCTCTTTTATTGGACAGTGGGTTGGGGGACTATAAACACACTTCCCAAGTGGGTGTAAAAGTAATGATCCATGTTAAAGAGTCTAACACGGTGCCTGGAAGACAGAAACATACAACAAGTAATAGCTATTGTTATGATTTTTACCTCTTTTTTTCTTTCTTCCAGGGCCAGAAATTTTTGATACCATTTCTCGTGCTGCTGAACTTCCTCCTGCGTTCTTCCAGGAAGGTTTTCTAGAACTTCTCCCATGAACGCTGGCTTCCCTTTATGTTTGTTTCTCACCTTCACAAAGTTCTGGTGGTCATAGTCATCCCAGCCCCCCTGTCGCCCGCCTGTTTGCTGAAGGAATTTTTCAAAATCTACCACTTCTTCTGGAAGAGTGCTTGGCATTTCTCTGTCTACAGGAAGCTTGCCTGGCGTGGCTCTGAAGGCCGCCTCAGCTCCTGAGTTCCCCAAAGCCCACATGTCGATTTTTCTGGATATGGCGCTCAACTCATTACCAGTGGTTTTCTCTTCTTTCAGAAGCTCTTCATATCTAAAATTTTAAAGGTAAACTTTGACTAATAAGCTACAAACCGATCCAAACGGACCTTGCCTACCCCCCCACCAAATTTCATTATTCCCGACTCTTCTCGTGTCATCTTCTCGAATTAAAATTATTTACATTATAAATCTAAGCCTTAAAAGAGTTTCCTCAGAGGGGAAAAAAAAAACATCTTTCAAATCCTTATTTAGGTTTTCTGTCTTGTCCAAATATAAGTGAAAATTCACTTGAAACATGAAAAGCAATCTAAAACCCAAAACAAAGGAAGAGAGATGTTATATTGCTCTTGTGTAAGACTAATAATATTAAATACAGAACAAAAAAAATGCCTTGTGTACAACAACCTACTAGAGAGGTAATAAAAGATAAAGGTCCATAATTTTATATCAAAATGAATTTAAAACATACATCAACCTCTGTTCTTCCTTAAAAGTGTTAATCGCATTTTCAATTTCTTCCATCATTTCTCTGAGCTTTTCAACAACTGTAAAAACAAACAAACAAACATGGAAAGACTTTTATGTCGTATTTTAGTAGGACTAAGAATAAAATGTTAGGAGAAAATGGAATGTTGCCTTAATTTCAAAACATTTCTTAACCAAAGGATAAGATAATTGTGCTTTTATAAAGCTAATGTTTATGCCTGCAGTGTTTTTCCCAATTATAGATTTATTCCTGTGCACATGTATTATTAAAATGTACTATCATTATTTTTCCCACAGAAATGTCTACTACTACACATACTGCCTTGTGACAAGCAGTCTTCATTTAACAAAATGGGGTTAAATACATGTGGTTAAGTTCCCATGTCAATATACATATGTCCCCCCTCATTCTTTTTTCGTGGTATCTCGCTGTCTACATTTACCCTAAGTCTTTTCATTAATTCTCCAAGTGATGAACCTTTCGGTAGATACAATGCTGGGGTGAATACTTATGTGTAGTGATCTTGTACGCTCAAGTGTTCCTAGACAACAACTGAAAAATGTGAATGCCACACCAAAAAGTATGCATACTTTACGGTAGGGTCAAGGACGGCACACTATCCTGCTGGGGTTGCTCTACACCACTTATGGCTCCTGAGCGCCCCCTTCCTGTGTACCGTGGACCATTTCCAAAAGGAGAGGAGAAATGGGTCAGGACTGATTTCACTGACATTTTTGTGATCATTAATGAGCCTGAGCAGTTTCTTCATGTGTGTTTTGTATTTCTTTTGCTATAAACAAGCCCCTGATAATCTTTACCCATTTTCCTATTAGGTTATTTACCTTGGTTGCTCCAATCTGTCAACGCTCTTTGTATGTTATGGATATTAGTTTTTTAAGTTACATACGTATTGTTGATATTTTCCTAATATGTTTGTCAACTTTATGGTTCTGGGATTTTTTGTGTGTGTATGAAGTAGTCAGTTATGTCTACTTTTGGCTCTATGGCTTCTGATCGTAACTCTTACAAACTAGAATACAACTGTAAAATTATGAACTCTTGTTGTTTTCTACAATTTTTATGGCTTCGTGTATTACTTTAGTAAGTAATAATTAGCACAGTCATAGTTACCATTTTTTAGTGCTTCCTAGGTTATAAACACTGGATAAGTGCTTCATACGCATTGTCTTACTTCATCTCCCCAAGAATCCTGAGGTAGGTCCTATAATTATCTCCATTTTACAGCTAAGGAAATAAAAGCTCAGAGAGTTTAAGTCATTTGCCTAAAAGCATGTAAGTAACAAGTGATTTGATCCTTCAGGAATGAATGCTGGGGGTTGCCTGGGTGGTTCAGTCGGTCAAGAATCTGCCTTTGGCTCAGGCCATGATCCTGGGGTCCTGGGATCAGGTCCCACATCGGGTTCCTTGCTCAGTGCAGGAAGCCTGCTTCTCCCTCTCACTCCACCTCTGCTTGTGTTCCCTCTCTCACTGTGCCTCTCCCTGTCAAATAAATAGATAAAATCTTAAAAAAAAAAAAAAAGGAATGAATGTTGGCGTACTCAGGCAGGTAAGGATGCTATTTGTTTCCAAATAGCTAGCATTTGTCCCAACACTATTAAGCTTTTCCTTCTGTATTTGAAATGCAATTATTTGAAAGGCGATTATTTCAAAAAGCAAATGGTGGGAAAAACACTAGGCTAGGAATCAGGAAATTGGTCCTTTTCCTCTTTAGTAGCTGAACCTGAAAGCCTCCACACCAGAGTTTCCATCCTGCACGTGACACTATGATCTGTTCTATCCACTTCCTAACTTGGGGGATGCGACAGCATTTTAAAGGTAAAGAACTATATAAATACCACCTGTCACAGTTAATTATCCAATCTATCTTTCCCGATCCCTAACCAATATGACCTAGCTCCATTAAGGCCAAAGGGGGAAAAAAGGTACCTATTAGATTACATAAATATTTCTTTTTTTCTTTTTAAAGATTTTATTTATTTGACAGAGATCACAAGAAGGCAAAACAGCAGGCAGAGAGAGAGAGGGGGAAGCAGGCTCCCCGCTGAGCAGAGAGCCCGATGTGGGGCTTGATCCCAGGACCCTGAGATCTTGACCTGAGCAGAAAGCAGAGGCTTAACCCACTGAGACACCCAGGTGACCCAAGTATATATATATTTCTAATGAGAACAGCAAATATGAATATGTAAGTCAGAAGATGAAATCTAAATTCGCTCACCATCAGGGGTAGGCTTCACATCTTTTAACTGGTGTTGAAGCTTCTTTACATTGTTGTGTATTTTGGCCAATTGCTGCTGGAGTTTTGCTCCTACAAGGAAGAAGTATGTACCTTCAAATAACTCTATGACAAAGGTGGTTACAACTCAGGGTTCTTCGCGTAAGACTGATCACCATCACTCAGTAAAAGATAGCCAAGAGCAATTAAATAAAGGAAAAAAGATGGTTATTTGTGTCAAAACAGCCCGAACATTTTAAAGTACCCTTGCTCTAACTAAAACATGAGAGATGTTTTATTTGTTATTTCCTCCAATACTTAAAAGCACAATGGGTTAAGTCTTACTATGAAAGGAAATGTTCGTTTTCTCTCTCTCTCTTTTTTTTTTTTTTTAACTCTTAGGAGATTGAGTGGACGCTGTTCTAAACACAGGAAACAGTAGCTCAGATGTAATCATGTTCTGCTCTTAGAAAGGTTTTTTTTGTTGGTTTTTTTTGTTATAATTTATGGAAATACAATTTGATCTCTACTGTTGGAATATTAAAACTGTCTACCCAATATTAATTCATTGCATACCGTAAAACTTCCTGATGAGAATTAATGTCATCTAACCACAGCCTCTGTGACTGGGGTCAGGGAGACCCACTAGTGTCACAGTCATGGCCTTGGGGAGGTGCCCAGCTGCCGTGTAGTGGTACTTGTGCTACAGGTCACCAAGTTTGACCAAGGGGTTAGCCCGAAGGAACAGCCTAGGCCCACTGTAAAAGCCAAATGAAGGTCTCACAAAGACATTTTCAGATGTTCTATATCAGCAGCAGAAAAAACTGGATTCTTCTTTCATATTTTCTTTCTGAAGTAATCACCTTACTTCAAATGTTTATTTAAAGTATTAAGCTAGTATCACATATTCATATACATACTCATACAATAATATTATTTCATCATTATTGGGGTACTTTATGTGCCCCCTCTTCCATTTTTGCAACTTTTCCACAAATAAGCATGAGGCACCCAATAGCTGTCTAAAAGTCCTTAAAGCCAATTTTTAAAAAGATTTTATTTATTTATTTATTTATTTCTCAGAGAAAGAGAGCACACAAGCAGGGGGAGTGGCAGGCAGAGGGAGAGGGAGAAGCAGACTCCCCGCTGAGCAGGGAGGGCAATGCAGGACTCCATCCCAGGATCCTGAGATCAGGGCCTGAGCCAAAGGCAGATGCTCAACCGACTGAGCCACCCAGGTACCCCTTAAAAAGAATTTTTTTTTTTTTTTTTAAGTTTACCTACAGGCTCACAGCCAGTGTTAATATTCAAAACAAAAATCACACATGTATATGTGACTTTGGTTTGTTCTATCTTTTTTTTTTTTTAAGTAATCTGTTTCTTTATTTCAGTAATCTGTACACCCAACGTGGGGCTTGAACTCACAGCCCTGAGATCAGGAGTAACGTGTTCTTCTGACTGAGCCAGTCAGGCGCCCCCGGGTTTGTTCTAATTTCTGTTAAAAATCAAGAGTTCCACAAAAGCAGAAACATATTCAATGTATTTTATGGGGTTTCATTCATTCACTGTTGGAACTCTAGGTCAGGCAACTTCTCTAGCAAAGTGTAGTAACTAGGGAAGTAACAGTTTTGTTATTTCGTTTTTGCCACAGTTTGATCAACTACAGTGATAATGCCACAGAGCAAATGATCCCTTAGTTATTCATTTGGAACTGACAGTATGTTTGGGCTGACCGTTAAGGACAGCATTACATAAACACAGGCCAAAAGTGTGGCATGATGTTTGAGGCAAGGAAAAGGTATTTACTTCTTCTAAGTTGTAACATGGCAAAGAGAAACTTCTATAAACTTATACTGAGACAATGCTCTCCCAGAGAAGATGAACACAAAGTGTGAATAAAGAGAGGTGAAACTGTGCAACAATGGGAAATGAAAAGACAGAAACAAAGTTGTCCTTCAAAAGGGAATGCACAGAAGGGAGACCCTCCAGGAACGGCATGATCAAGAGGTATAAAGATCAGCCTCAGGGCGCCTGGGTGGCTCAGTCAGTTACATGTCTGACTCTTGATTTTGGCTTGAGATTCTCTCTCTCCCTCCTCCCCTCCCCCTGCTCATACTCTTGCTCTCTCTCTCTAAAATGAATAAACAAACAAATAAAATCTTTTTTTAAAAAGATAAGTTTCTTAGTCATCTATAAAAGAACTGAGAGGAAGGAAGAAATATTAAACTAGGGATGTTTCAGTTTCTCCATAGAAAAAGGAGAACTTGGGACGCCTGGGTGGCTCAGTTGGTTGGACGACTGCTTTCGGCTCAGGTCATGATCCCGGAGTCCCGGGATCGAGTCCCGCATCGGGCTCCCAGCTCCATGGGGAGTCTGCTTCTGCCTCTGACCTTCTCCTCACTCATGCTCTCTCTCACTGCCTCTCTCTCAAATAAATAAATAAAATCTTAAAAAAAAAAAAAAGAAAAAAGAAAAAGGAGAACTGGACATTTGGTAATTATATTAGGTCCTGCTGTCATCCCAACAGAAGTCGAAGAATGGTTCTTGCCACTATCTGACAGAAGATGACTTTTTACGATACTACAATCTTAGACTCTGCAAGAGAACATTTATTAAGAATTTCTTTTAACTGACTATAAAGGAGTAGAGGCAGTGTGATTTTTATACAAGTCTTAACAGTTCACAAGGCTTAGTTGATAACCATTATTTTTCCTTTATGCAATGCAAAGCAGGTTTTTTTTTTCATTTTGCAACACATAAAATCTACAACAAAACCAGATATTTTTATAGAATTCTTTTCTGAAGGGCAACAGTTAGTACACCGTTAACAATGATTAATATTCGTAACAAACAACAGAACATAATTCATCATGCACTTTATATGGCACTTTCTCATGTATTACCTCACGGGATGCCCAGACAGCTCCCCTGAGGCAGAAATGGTGGGTTTTCCATCACAGACAAGCAAACTCAGGTTTAAGCAGCTGTGTGCCTACCCCACTCCGTACCACTACTAAGTCTAGTTCCTGCATCCGCTGATGTTGACTTATTCAGTCACTAATACCAGGGTGAGGAGCTAAGACATGAGAGCCCAGGAACCAATTTCCCTTCATTTTAAGAAATTTTAATGACATGAACAGGTTTGGCAATGGAAAAAAAAACAAACAAACAAACAAAAAAAAAACAAAACCATCTTTTTCTTCTTAAGGAGAGAGAAATGTACATAGAAAACAATCCAGTTTGGATGACCAAACTGGGACCGGAAGGAACAGACCCAAATCCCTACCAGACAGACATATTACCAAGTAGAAAGTATTTTGACAGAGAATATAACAGAGTCAATCCACAAAGACAGAGCAACACAACCACAACTTGATGTCACTCAACAGTTTATAGCTCGTGAACTCAACTTACTTTCTGTTTTCCTGCTGTTGATCAATTTATTTTCCAGTTCTTCCAGCATACCGTGCTCACTTCTGAAGTCACTTTTTTGGTTGTAGAAATGACTATGTTTATCTTTTTCTATGTTAATCACTCTTTAAGTAAAGAAACAGATGGCATAAATGTGGTTGAGTATATTTTTCATTGTTTAAAATACGGAGACGCTCATTATAATCAATACTTATGGACAGGTTAATGCATGTGAGGAGCCCAAATATAATTACGAGAATTGATTAAGGCTAAGGAGTCAGAGCAGTAGCTAGAAAAGAGTCAAGTTCAACTATAATCGTAATTTGAATCGCTGTTTAAATGACAAAACGTGAGTTTCAGAAAAGGCACTCACGCACTTGGTTTGAAAATACAATAGCGGTCTGGCTCTTGATTCCAGGTCAGTCTTCCTGTGGCCTGAAAATGGCCACAGTTGCTGATGGCTGCTTTCAGGAGATGCAGTTAGCTTTGTAAATGGACCCAAGCCCTTTAGCCTCTGCTGGGGTGAACTTCCTCCTCACTAAAATGCGAGCCCTAAACAAGGCTGTGATTAAATTATATAAGGGCACACCTCCATATGCTAAAAATGTACTACGCAAGTATATTATATTATTAATATAATGACTAAAACTAAAATTTCAAGGGGCAAACAATCCACATAGACAGGAATTTTGGTGTATTTAGGGATATCGTCTACAAGGACTACAAAGCTTCTTCTGTACCATCTTTGCTCCTTGGACTTAGTCCATATTCCAGTAAGGAGATCTAATGTTAGTTTGAACCCTGGGGTAAGACAAAACAGATACTAGCAAGAAGAGTTTCTGGTTGGACAACGAAATTTATTTTCTTCTTCCAGAAATCAACACAAATTCTTCTCCAGGAATCTTGTATTTAATGAACGGTGGAATGTCTCAGGCCTTAATTTCATACAACCTGAGGGGTAACTATCTAAGGGAGTGTTCCCCAATATTTTCCACTTCGCCATCCATTAAAAAAAGTTAATATTTGGGACGCCTGGGTGGCTCAGTTGGTTAAGCAGCTGCCTTCGGCTCAGGTCATGATCCCAGCGTCCTGGGATCGAGTCCCACATCGGGCTCCTTGCTTGGCGGGGAGCCTGCTTCTCCCTCTGCCTCTGTCTGCCTGTGCTCGCTCTCTCTCTCTCTCTCTCTCTGACAAATAAATAAATAAATAAAATCTTTAAAAAAAAAAAAGTTAATATTTATAAAGTTCAGTGGGGAAAACAGATGGGACCGTTCTGGGCCCTACCTGGCTATCTCAAAGGCTGAGAAGATCATACAGTAGTGAGTGGGCTTGGGAGAGGAAGCGAAGGGTAGAACAGAGCTGTCAAGCAGATCTCAGTTTGCGTGTCAACTCTTAAGGACTAAGCATGGCTCCCGGAGTCCTGTGCTGAGACTGGGAAGCCCAGCTAGGCTCTGGTTGCTGGTGGGGGAAATTACAGGGTCAGACAGAAATGTCTACATGGACAGGGGATATGCTAGGACGGTAAGTAAGTGACGTTTTGTGATTCCTGATTTAGAAATAGGCTCCTGTAAAAACACCCAAAATGGACTAATGGAGACAAACAGCTAAACACAGGGAAAGATGCTCAACGTCACTCAGAAGAGGAGAAATGCAAAGTAAAACTAGACCACGGTAACATCATACACCTCTCAGACTGGTGAACATCCCAAGTGTAAGTACATCTTCTGTGGATGAAACTGTGGGGGAACGGATCCTCTCACACCTTATTGGTGGCATTGCAAATTGCCTATAGTGCTCTGTTTGGCAATATTTATTACATCTGCAAACCCACATGCCTTGGACTGAGCACTTCTCCCCCTAGGAATTTTTCCTAAAGATGCACTTAGACATACACAAAATGACACGGACCTACGCAGATACTGTGATTCGTTGTGGCCAAAGATCGACTAGAACCTAAGTGCCCACCACTATGGGGGCAGGTTACATAAATCATGGTACATTCACGCCCTGGGACACAGCCCAGCAGTACCGTGTTCTGTGTGCTGACGGAGGAAAGAGCTCCCAAGATGCACTCTTCTTCTAACAAAGGTTTTATATGAAAATGTTAGACACACCCAAAAGTAGAGAGTGACTGAATGACGCCCCTCGTGTACCCTCATGCCACTCTGATTTGACAATGTGACCTCTCTTTTTCACCTAGCTCTTTTCCATTTTCATATTTTTCTGTGTTTTACGAAGGCATTCTAAATCAATCCACTACATGATATAATTCCACTCCAGGACACCTAAGTGTGCGTCTCTGGGGACTACAGATGCTGAACTAGAAGGCCATGATCCTGTCTGACAAAATCAACAAGTCCTTGGTATCTAAGATATACTCGTAGGTTAAAAATAAAACAAAACAAAGCAAAATGCACAGTAGTATGTACAGTATGCTCCCATTTATATAAAAAAGGAAAAATCTGAATATGTATTTTTATTTCCTCCTAAGCATATAAAAATCCTGTGGAAGGATACATAAGAAACTAAAAACGGCGGCTGTCTGAAGGGAAGGAAGTGGGTGGCTGGGGCCAGGGGTGAAACAGACACTTTCCACTGTGTACCCCTCAGTGTGTGTTGAGTTTTGAATTGTGTGACTGTATTGTTACCTATGCGGAAAACTAAACAGAATTATATCTGAACTGTTTGTTTTTTCTGTATTCAATGAAAATTTTTGGCCAGAGACACTCTACTAATGGATTTTTCTAATACTCTTTCCATGAGCTTTTGCAAAATCTTAGAACAAAATGAAGAAAGTCTAATCAGAGGTGTAAAACCAGCACATACTGGCGAAGAAAGTCTCTACTGGTTTGGTTTGCTGTAGACATGGCCATTAACCACTTGGCCAGTTACCCATCTAAGGACAAACAGAAGCCAGACCCCCAACCTACAGTCCAGTCCTACCTCAAATCATGCATTTTCGAAATAAAAAGAAAATAAAATTGTATTTTCCGAAATTCTGAGTTTTAAAAAATATAAGTAGTACATCCCTGCGGAGAGCATTCAATCCCCGAAAGCTCCAATACGGTCTAACGTTTCACAACGCAGGAGTATACTTTTTTGCTGGCAGAATTTCTAAACAGAACCGCCACTAATCCCAGGCCAGAGACCATTCCCTACAACAGGCTCCAGTTCTCCTGACTTCTTTAGCAAATTGATCTTGTACAAATTCAAAGCAGCTGCAGGGTAGGGTTGGGTGCTGTGAGCTCTAAGGCTTTTGCTCCTCCTTCACAAGATTTCTCATATCATGGCGCTACTGACAAGGCTGAACATGCAACAGACATCACTGGCTGTTAAAAGAAAAAAGTACACACACGCTAACAGTTAAAACAAATGGCAACTTCTCAATTACTCTAGTCTTGATGGGCTGGACGGATCTGAAAGGAGAGAGACCAAGGGAGGGAGATCAATGAAAAGGCCATTTCAAGAAAAATAACTCGAGGGTACAGACTCTTCATTAAAACTACTGACTCTCAAAAATATTTACCAAGTGCTTACGTTGGTCAGTGATGCAATCTAAGGAAATAACTGTTTTGTTTCCCTTGAAATACGCGGACTCAAAATAACACACGAAACTGAGAGAACGCTACTTAAAACTGCGTGTGAAATAGTCTGTTATCATTTGTCTTTTTCATACCCCTGCCTTTCTCGTTCATCTCTGGAAAGCCAGTGACTAGAATTTTGTAACTTAATGTGAGATTGGAGAAGGCGTAGAGTAGGATTAGAAGGAGTTAGAATGAACTTCATGGTGTCCACAATAACATGGCGAGCAGTGGTAATTGAAGATAATGCTCTTATACTTACTGATTTTTTAATTTTTCTGCTGTGCGCATGAACTCTGCTTTCTTCGTCCGACTAACTTTCTGCTTCCAGTTTTGAAGCTGAAAAGGACGAATCCCACCCGAAGTACTGAAACAGCTGTCGTTCTACACAGAGAATAAAAACAAATTTACCATCGATAATAGAAATGGCATGAGATGAAGACAGGATTTTTTTCAGGGAGAAAGCATCGGTAATGAAGTCTCTTGGGGGATAATGTGGGGACCCATCTTATGTAATATATTAAAAATTATTTCTGTTTATTTTAATTAAAAATTAAAAATATATTTTGTGGAAGGAATATCTACCTTAAAATCTAAATTAAATATTAAGTCTCTGGGGATTTTTACAAAAAGATCTAATTCTTTCAGTCATTGAATAATAGGTACTGAACACTTGTGATGTGTGGTATGCTGGACGCCAGGGAAACAATGATGATCCCATCAACAGGGCCCCGGGCTTAAAGTCTGGTAGGGGAAACAGATTTACACAGAAAAGGGTAAACGAACAATAAATTAAAAAAATACCAATTGCAATAAGTGCTACTTAAGAAATAAACAGGACTGAGTTAGAGATAATGGATTAACACACTGTTTTTCAGTTACAATGGCCACAGAAGTTCTATTGAGAGGATGACACGTAATAAGGAAGCCTGGAGCCAGCCATGTCAGAGCAGCAGGGACAGGAGTCCTACCTAGGCAGAGGGCCCAGTGTGTGCAAAAGTGGCAGGGCAGGAAAGACCTTGGCTGGTTCAACAGAGAAAGAACAGAGGTGACATGATGTTAGTAAAGGTGGGGAGTTTGGTAGGAGATGAAGGTAGACGGGCAGGTATGTGGCCCGTCATTTTGGCACTTTAAGTCACTTGGGGGTCTGGATTTTACTCAAGGGTTTTGAGCTAGGAGAATACCACGATACATGTAATCTTTTAAGAAACTCTTTCTGGCCATTTTCGGAGAATAAATTGGTGGGAGGAAGGAGAGGAGGTAAAGCAAGCCTGGAAGCAGAAGGATGGAGGAAGCAGCTGGTACAGCAACACTAGAATGATGGTGTCTAGGACCACTGGGGTGGCGGTGGATAGAAAAAGGAGGGGCGCCTGGGTGGCTCAGTTAATTGAATAATCGACTCTTGGTTTTGGCTCAGGTCATGATCTCTGGGTCTGGGACTCAGTCCCATGTTGGGCTCCATGCTCATTGCAGAGTCTACTTGTCCCTCTCCCTCCCCTTCTCCTCCTCCCCCTGTTCTCTCTCTCTCAAGTAAATAAAATCTTAAAAAAAAAAAAATGAAAGTCCGACTAAATCCATCTTGGATCTATAACAAAGAGGAATTGCTGACAGATCGATTTATATGCAAGAGAAGGGAAACAAAGCTTTACATTTCTTTCACATTTCTAGAAACAAGCTAAAAAAAGTAATGAATTTAGGATATATTTTTTCCACTGAGATGTAATTCACATTACTCTCTCTCTCTCCATATATACATATGTACATATATATATACATATCTCCATCTAAAACGTACAATTCAGTGGTTTTTAAGATATTCACAAATGTTTGCAAATATCACTACTAATTCCAGAAAATTTTTGTCATACCAAAAAGAAATCCCATACCTGTCAGCAGTTTGCTCCCCACTCCTCTTCCCTACAAGCCTCTGACAACCATCTAATCTATTTTTGACTCCATGGATTTGCCTGTTCTGGAAAATTAATATAAATGGGATCACACAACATGTTAACTGTTTGTGTCTGGCTTCTTTCACTTAGCATAACGTTTTCAATATTCATCTACATTGCACAATAAATCTGTACTTCATTTCTTTTTATGGCTGAGTAATAATATTCTATTGTGTGGATCTACCATCTTTTGTTTATCCATTCATCAGCTGATGGACAGTGGGCTATTTTCCAATATTTGGCCAATATAAATAACGCTACTCTGAATATTTGTGTACAAGTTTCAGTATGAATATGCTTTCTCTTAAGCATACAACTCAGCAGAATTTTTGGATCCTAGGGTTAACTCCAACATTTTACTTTCTCATTTTAAAAATTGGGTTGTTGGGGTATGTGGGTGGCCCAGTTGGTTAAGCATCTGCCTTTGGCTCAGGTCATGATCCCAGGGTCATGGGATTGAGCCCCATGTTAGGCTCTCTGCTCAGCAGGGAGTCTGCTTTTCCCTCTCCCTCTGTCCCCGCCACCCCAGCTCATGTGCTCTCTCTCTCTAATAAATAAAATCTTTAAAAAATAAAAAATAAAAAAATAAAAATTGGGTTTTCTTTTTACTGTTGAGTTGGGGGCATTCTTTATGTATTCAGGATATAACTCCCTTCTCAGGTAAAAGACCTGCAAATATTTTCCCAATTTCCCTGAGCCATCTTTCCATTTTCTTGATAACACCCTTCAAAGCACAAACATTCTCAGTTTTGATAAAGCCCCATTTATCCATTTTATCTTTGGCTGCTTGTGCATTAGACAGCCTACAGAAAACATTCAAAGGTCATGAAGACTCACATCTATATTTTTTTCCCAAGAATTTTATAGTTTTATGTCTTACATTTAGGTCTCCACCGATTTTTGTGTTTATATATGGTGTGTGGCAGGAGTCTAACTGGGCTATTTTGTGTGTACATATCCAGCTATCCCAATGCCACTTGTTGAAAAGAATCTTCTTTCCTTATTGATTTATCTTGGCACCCTTGTTGAAAATCAACTGCCCATACATAGGGTTTGCCTATTAACTGTCATTGACCTATATGTCTATCCTTATGCCAGTACCGCACAACTGATTACTGTAGCTTTGTAGTAAGTTTTGAAATCGGGAATAGGAGTCCTCCAACTTTGCTCTTCAAGATTGTTTTAGCTATTTTGGGCCCCATGCCTTTCCCATGTGAATTTTAGGATCGGTTTATCAATTTACGCACAAGAAGGCAACTGAGATTTTCAGAGGGACTTCAACTCTGTAAATCAATTTGGGGATTATGGCCATCTTAACTCTTCATATTCATAAGCTTAAAATATCCAATGATGTAGGTCTTCCTTCTTTTCTTTCAGTGATGTTCTGGAATTTTTAGAGTATAAGCTTTGCTTTTTGTTGTTGTTGTTGTTGTTGTTGTTGTTAAATTCATTCTTATGCATTTTAGTCTTGTGATACTACTATAAACAGAATTATTTTCTTAATTCCATTTTTGATTTGTCCATTGCTAGTATATGGCATTAAAACCAATTTTTATTGATTGCTTTTTTAATCCTTCAATCTTGCTGAATTTATTTGCTCTAGCAGTTTTTACTTGGATCCTCTAAGTTTTTTATATACAAATCATGCCACCTACAAATAAGGATAATTTTACTTCTTTTCTAATTTGTTCCTCTTGCCTAATTGTCCTTGCTAGACTCCCCAGTGGATAAGTAGTGAGAATAGACATTCTTGTCTTAGTCCTTATCTTATGTGGGAAGACTTTTAAACATTTTTTAAATTTTTAATTATTTTTTTATTTTTATAGAGAAAGAGTAAGGACGAAGGTCAGAGGGAGAGGGAGAAGCAGCGTCTCCACTGAGCAGGGAGCCTGATGCAGGGCTTGATCCTAGGACCCCAATCATGACCTGAGCCCAATGTGGATGCTTAACCAACTGAGCCACCCAGGCGCCCCTGTGAAAAGCTTTTTATCCTTTGTCATTAACTATTATGTCACCTGCAGGCATTTTATAGATGTCTGTATCAGATTGAGGAGTTTCCATATATTGCTAGTTTGCTGAATGTTCCTTTTATCATGAAAAGGTGTTGGCTCTTGTAAATTGCTCTTTCTAAATCTATTGAGATGATTATGAGGTTTGTCCTTTATTCTATTAATAACTAAGTTCTATTATATTGATTGATTTTCATACGCTGAACCAACCTTGCATGTCTGAACAAATCCCAACTGATCATGGTATGTAATCCTTTTCATATGTTGTTAGATTTGGGTTGCTAGTGTTTTGTTGGAGAATTTGCATCTGTATTCATAAGAAATACTAGTCTGTTATTTTCTTTCTTGTGATTTCTTTGTCTGATTGTAGTATCAGGGTAATAATAATGAGTTGAAAAATGTTGAATGAGTTGAAAAATGTTCCCCCCTCTATCTTCTGAAAAAAAGTTTGTTACAAAAAAAAGTACATTTAGGACTGACTTCTATCTTTATCTCCCCATTTACTTTTTACCAGTACTCTTCATTCATATTCTTCTTCATTTGGATTTGAATTTCTATGTAGTCTTATTTCAGTTCAAAGGACTTCGTTTAATATTTCTTGTAGGGCATATATGTTACTGTTTGTTTGTCTGGGAATGTCTTAATTTCCCCATTTTTAGAGAATAATTTTGGTGGACATAGAATTCTTGATCGACAGTCCTTTTCTTTCAGCAATTTGACTGTCATCCCACTGACTTCTGGAATCCAAGGTTTCTCATGAGAGGTCCACTGTCAATCTTATTGAAGATCCTTGTGTGTGTCGAATTGTTTCTCTTCTAGTGCATTCAAGATTTTTTAAATTTAAAGATTTTTAAAATTTTTGTCTTTGTCTTTCAACAGTTTGATTATGATGTGTCCAGCTATGATCTCTGAGTTTACTCTACTTGGAGTTCATCAAATTCTAATGATATGTAGATTAATATTTTTCATCAAATTTGGTAAGTTTTCAGGGCACCTGGGTGGCTGAGTTGGTTAAGCCTCTGACTGTCAGTATCAGCTTCAGTCTCGATCTCAGGGTTGTGAGTTCAAACCCTGCATCTGGCTCCACACTGGCTGTGAAGCCTGCTTAAAAAAAATTGGGGAAATTTTTAGCCATTATTTCTTCCAATATTCTGCTGCTCCCCTTTTCTCTCTCTTCTCCTAAGACTCAGTATGTATGACCTTCATGGTGTCTCACAGGCTCTGTTCATTTTTCTCTTTTTCTTTCTGTTTTCAGTCTGGATACTCTGAATTGGCCTATCTTCAAGTTTCCTGACTCTTTCTTTTGCCAGCTCAAATCGGATGCTGAGCCCCTCTAATGAACTTTTCATTTGAGTTATTGTACCTTTTGACTCCAGAATTTCTATTTGATTTTTTAAAGACTTTTAATTTATTTATTTGATAGAGAGAGATCACAAGTAGGCAGAGAGGGAAGCAGAGAGAGAGGGGGAAGCAAGCTCCCCGCTGAGCAGAGAGCCCAATGCAGGCCTCAACCCCAGGACCCTGAGATCATGACCTGAGCTGAAGGCAGAGGCTTAACCCACTGAGCCACCCAGGTGACCCTCTATTTGATTTTTTAAAAACAATTTTAATCTCTTTATAGGTATTTTTCATTTGGTGAGAAATCATCTTCATGCTTTCTTTTAGTTCTGTAGCCATGGTTTCCTTTAGTTTTTTGAATGAATTTAAAACAGCTTATTTAAAGTTTTTGTCTATTATTTCCAACATCTAGTCTTCCTCTGAGATAGCTTCTTTTTACTGCTTACGAAAAAAATTATCTTGTGTGTGAATCTTATGTCCTTGGTTTTTTTGCATGTCTCATAGTTTTTTGTTAAAAGCTTGACATTTAAAAACTATAATTTGGTTAATATAGTTGAATATCATATCAATATACAATTATTATATTATAAACATAACAATTTTATTAAGAAAACATAATTTAACTCTGAAAGTGAGATTCTCTTCCAACCCCAAGCTTTGTTGTTGTTGCCATCTGTTTAGTCAACTTCCTGAACTAATGCTGCGAAGTCTATATTCTTTGTTTGTATGGCATTGCTTGGTTAGCTCAGTTATCACCTAAAAGTTGACTGGTCAGAAGTTTTCCTAGATGCCGTAACCAGTACATCTCCCAGCCCTTGCTGAAGGGGTCTGTGTGCATACCAGGACACAGCCTCAACACGTAGGCGGGTAGTTTACACGTCAACCTTAGCCCTTGTTGTCTCTTGCACAGAGCTTCAAGGCCAGACAAAGATGAAGGCTCAGCGCTTTCTCAGGTCTTCTCTGGTGTACTGGTTTCCTACCGCAACTGCAACAACTTACTACAAATTAGTTTAACACAACGTTTTTGGCTTAAACCACACAAATTTATTCTCTTACAGTTCTGGGGGCCCAGTTATAATTACGGTGTTGACACGTTCATGTTCCTTCTGGAGACTTCAGAGGAGAATCTAGTTCCATGCTTTTTTTTTTCAGCCCTTAGAAGCCCCCTTCATCCTTGCCTCATGCCCCTTCCTCACATCACTGCATCCTCCTCTTGCTTCCATCGTCACATCTCCTACGACTGGCTCTGATCCTTCTGCCTTCCTTTGATAAGGACCTTTGTGAATACACTAGGCTCACACAGATACACCAGGATAATTTCCATTTTAAGATCCCTAATTCAATCACATCTGCAAAGTCCCTTTGACCATGTAAGGTCATAGGGTCACAGGTAGTGGGGATTAGAATGTGAATATGCTTGGAGGGCCCTTATTCAGCCCACCACACCTGAACATGGGCATAGCCCTACGCATGTGTGCAATCTTCTAGAAGAAATCCCTTGTGAGGAACCATGTCAAGTTAGACAAGAAATGTAGTTATTTCTGAAGGACTACTCCAAGCAGCCAAGGGCTATAACATTAGGCCATCAGAGGGAAGTTCACTTAATGAACAACAACAAAAAAAACCAGAAGACCCAGCCCTATCCCGGTTTAAAGCAGGGCCATGCACTAGTGTGATACTGTTAGAGATACCTTTAAAAACTCACAATTCAACTATTAAAATGATGAAGAGGGAAACGGCATTGGAGAGGAAGGTAGAGAGATTTGTAGTCTTCAGTCCTGAAAGGCACTGGTGAGAGGGATTATCAACAAATAATACACAAATATTATAAAGGACAGACAGGGCACATGATTACTTTTCTTTATGGGTAAGAACTTTATAGGGTTCCACACCCTAAGGAGGTTGGAGAATAAAATAAAATATACAATGTTTCTAAAACTTCAAAGACAGTTTCTCCAAAATAATTTAAAGGAGCTGTTCTAGACTGATTTATGTCCACCTCTATTCATATATTGAGGCCTTACCCCCCGCTTTGTGACTATATTTGGAGATAGGGCCTTTAAGGAGATAATTAAAGTTAAATGAGGTCAGAAGGGTGAGGTCCTATTCCAATAGGACTACTGCTTCCTTATAAGAAAAGGAAGGGACAACGGTGATCTCTCTCTCTTTCTCTGTGTGTGCACAGACAAAAGGCCATGTGAGGACACCTGAGAAGGCAGCTATCTACCTGACAAGAAGAGACCTCATACCACAGAACAATCCTGGTGGGCACCTTGATCTTGGATGTCTAGCCTCCAGAACTGTGCAAAAATTAACTTCTATTGTGTAAGCCACCCAGTCTGTGGTATTTTGTTATGGATGCCTTAACAGACTAATACAGGGCTTTTAGATATTTTGGGGAACACCTCTTACATTATGAGGTTGTCATTAGGAAAATCTCTCCTCAAGAAAACATTAATTGGTTTCACTATTAGAGTCAGTGGGAATACTCATTCACTTAATCATACGACAAATATTCAAGTTCAGCGGTAGGCTGAGGATTTGAGTGTGTAGGTGTGTTTGTTGTATACTGAGGGAAGTCCAAAGATGGATAACACCTAGTTAAAATCCTCAAAAACCTCACAATATGGCACAGCTGTGATTCTAATTTCTTTTTTAAAGTCCAAACACCCTCCAGAGAGTCTACTCTGTTATTGCTGTCATCATCAACTACGAGGCTCTGCCTTCCCTAAAATGATGAAACACAGAAAGGAGGGTGTTTCAAGCTCAACACTCCCAACATTTTGGACTGGATAATCTTTGTTGTTGTTGTTGGGGGCTGTCCTTCAGATTCTACCCACTAGATGCTAGTAGCATACGCAACCCATCCCCACCCCAGTCCTGACAACCAAAAACATCTCCAGACATTGCTAAATGTTGGGAACAGATAAAACATTTGAAACGGCTCCACAAGTGATTTTGGTCCAAGCCCTGGAAAGGTAAACCTCTGAGGACCACCCAAAGGGAGTGATAAAAAAGGTTCATTAATAACAATATTATGCAACCTGTGAGAAATGCAAACCAGGAGGCAAAACATGGTTATAAGAATTTAGATAACAAGTCAATTTGAACTAGAGTAAGCCAGAAAGGTTTCAGGGAGAAAGCCAGAAAGATGGCTAAACCACTAGGATCATACATTAAACAAAATGTTAAAAATTATTTTTAAAATATTTTATGCATTATCTATTTTTATATATTTTACTTTCTTTTTTCTCCCCCTGAGACATTTGGGGCAGAGTTAGAATAATAAAGAGAATTACAGAGGATGTGTGAAAATGTTTGCCTGAGATGGAATTTCCTGAGCTCATATAAGTAAAGACAGAAAATTGCTATATTCCTTTAGAGGAAGAAAAAGATGGAACCTATCCTCAGCTCCCAATGGCCTTCCTTCAGGTTTGGATTGATGCTTAAATATTTAGTGAGTGCCTACTATGTTCCAGGACTAAACTCAAAAGTGGAACTGGGAACACAATAGTGAATAAGACTTCCAAAGTTTCTGCCTTCATACAACTTACGTTCCCATGAGGGGGGTGGAGGTGTGGGGAAAAATGAAAATATGTAATACAGCATAAAATAGTAAGTGCTATGGAGCAAAATAAAACCAGAAAAGGGGATACGGTGCGCTGAGTTAAGGGGATTCAGTTTAGGGAGGTCATGAAAAGAATCACTGAGCTGATGGCATTGGAACAAAGATAAATGAAAGAAATGGAGTAAGCCGTAGAACCAAGAGGGAAGAGCATTTCAAGCAGAGGGAACAGCAATTACAAAGCTTATAAGGTAGGAGAGAACCAGGCATGTCTGAGGGTCAACCAGGAGGGGAGTATAACTGCAGCAGACTCAGAGCCAGGGACTGGAGAAGAGCCAACAGGGAGATGGTGGGGGTAGCTCACAGGCCCTGCAGACCATGGTAAGGACACTGGCTTTGGAACAGAAACCAACTAGGGAAGTATTTCAGGCAGAAAGGTATGATGATGTGGACAAAACAGGGGCACTGGGGGTGTTAAGAGTGGGATTCCCGGCTTATTCTGGGTTCTACACAGAACACGGAGGAATTCCCCATGCTTTGGGTGTGGGCTGTGAAGACAATGAGAACAGGGAAGGTCTTCGGCTTAAACAACTGGATCCAGCCATTCCTGAGGATCCTGTGGTCCACGCCGCCAGAGAAAGGGGTCAAGCCAGATCTTTGGAAACACATCTGCCTGGACCACCCCGTATTTATTCCTCCTTGTGTTCCCCAGCGCAGGGGCAATAACAAAGCAGCCACCCATTGCTGGGCACCGACAGTCTCTCCAAACACGCTCTGTGCCAGGGCCTTCCCAGACGTGAGGACCACAGCTCGGTAAGGTGTCGTTACCAGACCCAGTTTTTGGAGAAGGCACTGAGTCGCGGAGAGGGTATGCTCGCATCCCGAGGCTAGGAAGCGGCAGAGCCAGGGCTTCCACCCAGATCTTCCCTCGATTCCCAAACCACATGGAGGTGGCTCTGCAAAGGCAGCGGAAAGCACAAGCCAACAAAGCGCAGCGCCCAGCGTGGGCCAGGCCGCTAGCAAAGGGAGGCTAACGCCGCGCCTCCCGCCTCCGGAACGGCGCTGCAGACGACACCTGTTCGGCGAGGGCCGGGACCCGGTCCTGCACCCGGCACTCACCTCTCCCTCAGGCCCCCACCCGCCGCCAGCGGCTTCTGGCCCTCCCGGATTTACCTGTTGCGGCACCTGCGCTGCTCCCACTCCGCTCCCGGTGGCCGCGCCCGCCCCCGCCACAGCCCCGGCTACCGCGGTGGCCGCCGCCGCCACCACGACCGTCGTCAGGGCGGCCATCTTTCCTCGCCCAGCCGCTCGGGCCGCAGCGGCCACCCGGGGCCAGAGGGTTCCGGCCGCGGGAGCTCCTGGTCCTGCAGACCGTTCCCGACACCGTGGGTCTCTGCGGGACGCAGAGCACAGCGGAGCCAAAGCGCAGGGCGGGGCCGGGGCGAGGGGCGGGGCCGGGGCGCGGGGCGGGGCTCTGACAGGTTGCCGGGCGCCGCCGAGCCGGAGTTCAGGACGGGCAGGGCGGGGCTCTGCCGGAATACAGGGCGGGGCTCTGCCGGAATACAGGGCGGGGCTCTGCCGGAATACAGGGCGGGGCTCTGCCGGGATGCAGGGCGGGGTCGGAATGCTGGGCGGGGCAGGAGCGGGGGCGGGGCCGGGGCTCAGGGCGGAGCGGGAGCGCAGGCGGGATAGAGATGTGGGGCAGGGTCTGTGCGCGGGGTGGGTCAGAGAGGGGCGGGGCCAAGTTGTGGGGCGGGGACTGGGCGGCGTATGGGGCGGGGTCGGGCGGCAAGGCGGGGCTCAGCGGGGATGCTAGGCGGGGCCAGGGTGCCGGGCGGGGCTGGAGCAAGGAGCCCGTCCGCTGTTCAGAGCGGGGCGGGGGCGCAGGCGGGGTCCAGACGTGTAGCAGGGCCTGAGAGCAGGGTAGGTCGAGGGGCGGGGCCAAGAGGTGGGGCGGGGCCGGAGCGCCTGCCAGAGCCACACCTGGGAGCAGTGTGGGACCGGGTCAAGGCGGGATGCGGGGCGGGGCCGGACTGAAGCCCGAGCCCGCCAGAGCGGGGGCGGGGCGCGGGGCCCGGGGGCGGGGCGGAGTAGAGGCTAGGAGCGGACCGCACGCAGGGGGGCGGCGATCCGCCGAGCCTCCCTGCGCTGCGGCCGGTTTGTGTAAACTTTTCCCGTGCACTTGTCTACTCTTATTCAGCAAAATCTTTCTAAACCCCGCATTGAGCTCCGGTCCCCCACCCACCTCTTACTGTCAAACTTCCTTGTCTCATATATGCATACAGCTCTATCTATAGCTACCTAAAGATACTTTACGTAACAGAACTTCTTTCTAGGTTTCTACTAAGCGCTGGCGAAACTGGGTGTAAATGAAAAAAGGATTTATTTATAGGCTTGAACGATTAACTATTAACTAACACTTTCAAAGAAGCGGAAGAGGGCCTACCCTATACTGCAGATACCAAGGGCAGAAATACCACACTTGAGCATAAGAAGAGCGATGTCAAAGATACTGTGTCGAGGGGGCGGGGGTGGTTGGAAAAAAGCCATAGATGACCCCCACAATTAAAGCACAGGCAACCAGCGGCAATTCGCCTGGTTCCCGGACGCACCGCCTTTTCCTCCCGTATAAAGATTCATTCATCCCTTCACTCATTCAATCAATATGCAGCTCCTACTAGATACCAGGCACTGTTCTAGGTCTTTAGAATTCACTGTAGAGTTAGACACGAGTGCGCACGCGGGGAAACACACACACACACACACACACACACACGAGGTTCCTTCTAACGTTTAGAGAATTTAAACAAGTAAACACACGGGGTATTTACTGAGCACTTCCTTTGTGCTCTCACTGTTCTAAGGAACCCAGTGAAATAGGTCCTGCTATTATCTCTTTTCACAGAGAAGGATACAAACCTAGGCGTCTGACTGCAGAGACCATCCAGGTAGAGACGTTCAACAGGCCGCTGAATACATGCTTCTGGAGCTCAGAGAGAGAGACTGGAGATAAAGAGGTGATTCTGGTCTTCATCTGCTTGTAGAAAACATTTTATGTGCAAGTGCAGGGAGGGGCAGAGGGTGAAGCAGACTCCCCACCCTACCTGGGGCTCCATCTCATAATGCCAAGATCATGACCCCAGCCCAAATCGAGTCGGATGCTTTACCAACTGAATCACACAGTTGCCCTGCATGTAGAAAATATTTAAATAATGCTGAATGAGCTCACACAGGCGGGGGATAAACTAAAGTCTAAGAACAGGAGGAGAAGGAGGAGGGAGACTCCGAAGAAGGGGTCCCAGAGAAGGGAGGAAAACCAGAAGTCCATGGGAAAGTGTTTCCACTTTCAAAAAGTATTTTGAAGAGAGAATGATCATAGACCCAGTGGGGTTTGCCATCAGGAGGCTCAGTCAGGTGAAAACAGAAATGCTGCTTGGGTTTGGTAACAGGGAAGTGGCGGCCAACCCAGCAGGAGCATTCCGGTGGGATGGTGAGGAGGACCAAAGCCTCAGGAGAGAGCTGAGGAAGGAGATACTGAAGGTGAAGAACAGAAATGACAGGGATTTCCATGATTTTGCAATACAGGTGTTCAGACAAAGGAGCTGGTCGCTAGAAGATATGGGATCTTTGCTGGGTCATGTTCCAAGGTGAGGAGCAGCGGACGGTGTCCATGCCCTGGGGTCCGGGACACAAGGGAAAAGGTCAGTCTTTGATAGGAGCGTGGGCTCTTCCTGACTGGAGAGTTGCAGCACAAGGTCATTGGTAGATGTGGAGAGAGAAGAAGGCTTCCTCTCCTCTCCCCATTAAGTAGGAGGAAGTAGGCAGCTTGGGTGTATTGCAAAGGTAAAACCTTTCTAATTTATATACGCACATTTTGTCCAAAATGAGGTCTGTTGCTATAGCACCGCCTGAGCTCCTGTAACTGTGAGTCTAGAAAAATCTGGCAGCCTCAGGGGAAATCAGTCAATCAACAACTTCAGTTCAGTGGTCTCTGCATGGGTCAAAACCAGAATGGATACTCTAAGGGAAGGCAGGCACGAGTGAGATGCCTGCTGTTTAAGGCTTTCAATGGTTTATTATGATGGAAAATTCCGAGAAGTGATTAAGAATCTCACAAACAGAAAACCAGAGCAGACCTCTGCAATGAGATCAGGCAGCTGCCTGGGTCCTCACGTCCAGCCTTTCAGAGATCAGAGCTACAAAATATGGTTTCATTTCTTACATTTTGTATCAACTCTAGTTTAACATCAGAGGTTTGTCTTTCCTTAACCTCTTTTGTATTTACATTTCTTCTCTCTTGCACTGAAAATCTTGGCTCCTTACACTACCAACAGAGTACTTCTTTGCATTTTCTTGCAACAATTGGGTACTTCCAAATTACTTTATAGTATGTCCACTAACAGTAAACCTACTGAGTGAAGTTTTAAAGCCATTTGGCGTTCTTTTTGCCCTTAGACGACATCCTGCACTAGACAGCCCATCAGAGAATTTACTGTATTTGAGAGTTTTGTGAAATATGTGTTTTCTCTCTGTGGTTATAGAATCAGTTTGTATGCAGTGGGGTTCTTTCTATTGTATTTGCATTCTGTTTCAGGGCTTCCTCTTTTTTATTTTCTCTCTGGTTTACTTTTTTTTTTTTAAGATGCAAAATTTTATGTACCATATGTAAGGTCAAAACAATACAACCAGGTCTATATAAAGAAGTTTTGCTTGCTAACACATTTTCTCCATGCCATTTCAAATGATCCTCTATGCGTAAGCATTTTTATTAATATCTGGCTCATCTTACAGATTTTTTTGTAAAAATGCGTTTATATATAGATATATATACACTCTCTCTATATATAAGATATATGAAAGTATATGCATAATCTATGTATTCTTTTTAAAAAATTTATTTGAAAGAGAGAGTGGGGAGGGACAGAGGGAGAAAATCTTCAAGCAGACTCCCTGCTGAGCACGGAGCCCAACCTAGGGCTCGATCCCACGACCCATGAGATCACAACATGAGCCAAAACCAAGAGTCGGGTGCCCAACTGAGTGAGCCACCCAGGTGCCCCTATAGGTATTCTTATTTTCCTTCTTTCTTTACAAAAATATGTAGCATATTGTATCAGCATCTTAGGGCTGCCATGACAAAGTATTACAAACTGGGTGGTTTCTAACTATAGCAATTTATTTCCTCACCATTCAGGAGGCTAGAAGTACTTTCTTGGGGCTTGGAGGGGGGATCAGTCCCATGGCTCGCTCCTAGCAGCAACCTGCAGTGTTCCTTGGCTTGTGGAAGCACGACTTCCGTCTCTTATCTCTATCTCTGCATGGGCTTCTCCCACTAGCCCCCAACCCCTGTGTGATGTCTCTCTGTATCCAAATTATTCTCTTCTTTTTTTTTTTAAGATTTTATTTTATTTATTTATTTGACAGACAGAGATCACAGGTAGGCAGAGAGGCAGGAAGAGAGAGAGGAAGGGAAGCAGGCTCCCTGCTGAGCAGAGAGCCCAACATGGGGCTTGATCCCAGGAACCTGAGACCATGACCTGAGCCAAAGGCAGAGGTTTAACCCACTGAGCCACCCAGGAGACCCCCCCCCCCCAAACTGTCCTCTTCTTATAAGCAGCCCTTGGATTAGGGTTCATCCTAATCCTACTATTTATTTATTTATTTACCTTGACTACAATTGCAAAGATCTTATTTCCGAAGAAGTTCACATTCACAGACACTCGGCATTAGGACCTCAGTATCTCTTTGGAAGATGCAATTCAACTCATAACACATATTACATATAATCCTTTACACCTTACATTTTTCACCTAATGACATCTCCTGGAACTCACTTGGTATCAGTTTACAGAAATCTTGCCTATTTTTTTTTTTTTAATGGAGGCGTCATATTCCATTGTTTCATTCAATCAGCCATCTACTGATAGATGGCTGGGTTATTTTGAATCTTTTGCTACTAAAAGTAATAATTCATTAGTATTTCATATCAGGGAAGGGTTTCTTTGAATGTAAACACAGCACAGGTATTGATAAATTCCTTTCCATAGGAGTTGTATTATTTTGCACTCCCACTAGCAAAGCCTAAGGATGCCCATTTCTTTATCACTTGCTATCACTGTGTTTCTTCAACTTTTTGGATTTTTGACTATCTGAATAGGCAGAAAATGATATCTCTCCGTAATTTTAATATACCTTTCTCTGAGAAGTGAAAGTCAGCCTTTTTTACAAGTGGAAGGACATCGACTTTCCTTTTCTTTGAATTCTCTATTCACATTCTCTCCCCATTGGTATATGGGCTTTTCTTTCCATTTTTTAAAAGAGCTCTTTATCAATTAGGTGATTCTGATATAATTTTGTGATGTAAATTGCAAAGATTTCCTTCTGGGTTTTTAATTTGTTTTG